AAGTTCTGTCTCAGGACGTACTTCACGTTCGACGGGACAATCTACGAACAGGTGAAGGGCACACCAATGGGTTCGCCGATTTCGGGATTCATCGCCGAGGCTGTCCTGCAACGGTTAGAGTCGCTGGTCTTCCAACACCACAGACCGAAATTCTGGGCCCGGTATGTGGATGATACCTTCGTCGTTATCGATCGGGATCAACTGCTGACATTCAAGGAACATCTGAATGCGGTCTTCCCGGACATACAATTTACGATGGAGGAGGAAGAGAACAACCAACTGGCCTTCCTGGATGTCCTCGTATGCCGCAAGGATTGTGGTGGACTAAAGACCAAAGTGTTCAGGAAAGCGACAAATACGATGCAAGTACTGAACTTCAACATCAACCACCCAATCAGTCACAAACGCAGTTGTGTAAGGACGCTCTATCGGCGTGTCGAAACGCACTGCAGTGAGCCGGAAGACAAGATTGCTGAACTACAATATCTCCGACGGGTATTCAAAGTCAATGGCTACCCGGGCAACTTTGTCAACCGGTGCATACGCAAAATGGACGAAAGGCCTAACCGCGGGAACACCAAAGTTTGGCGAGCGCTTCCATATGTCAAGAACGTTTCGGAAGCTGTTGGCCGCCTTCTCGCACCGCTGGGGGTTGGAGTTGCACACTGGCCAGAGGCAACCATCAGGCGTCAATTGATGAAACCAAAAGACCCACTGCCACGGCAAGAAACGTCTGGAGTCGTTTATCGGATCTGGTGCAGTTGCGGACAAAGCAACTATGTCGGAGAAACCGGAAGACAGCTCCGAACGCGAATGGCCGAACACGCTGCAGCAGTGCGGAGAAATGACGCCAGCTCTCAAGTTGCGGCTCATTCCACGGGTTGCGGCCACACATTCAAATTTGACGAGGCCGAAATTCTCGCAAGAGGTGACAACCGCGTGAGCCGGGAGCTGCTTGAGTCATGGTTCACTGGCCCCCAGTCTATTAACAATTGCAATGATCTTCCCATTCAATACAGCGTGCTGAGACTTCGTCTAGGCGGAGAAATTGGCCACGCGGGGAGCGCCCTGATGAACACTCTTCCCAACACCCGGGTCAGCGCGTCAGATGGTCGAGCAATCACCACACCAACATCCAACACACGTGATGAAATTGCTGCAATTAACGACGCGAATATCGACCATCACGCCACGTGCAACGATCCCTGATGAAGGGGAGGGAGCCGTGAACATTCATAGGTATGCGGTGGCATGGCTACTGCATCCTATAAATACTGCAGCCACAGGTGCAAGAACCACCCTTATCTGCTTATGTCTCTGATGATGGATTCGAGCAGGAATCCGAAACGTCAGGCTAATAAAGCTCTTGTCCCGGCGATCGTGTCTTCTTCTTCAATACTGCTTCCTGGGACTCGTCTTTTCGCTTCTATTGACACAAGCACTGAATTTGCGCGTGGTGTTTGAATTTGGGCTGTCGTTATTTGTGCTCTCTGTGGAAATTTGCGTACTTGCACATTACGTGGCCTTCCCAATTTATTATATAAAGACCACTTTCTGCCCTTTATCTGTCTGAATTACGATAATGAGGTCATCTGGACAGCTCGCTCGCAGGCTTTTTAGGAAGCTATAATCTTGCGTAAATTCTGCACCGAATTCACCGTCGACTGTTCATGATACCGGATGTTGCGTCCTGCGACCGTATTTGCTGCATTTATGAGTTTCCCGTGAAATCGTGCTATCATAAACAAATGCCCATACACCGAAATAAACAGCGTTGCGGTTGTCAACCGGTACTCAAGCGTTAACAAGGGAACTTGCTGTCAGCTCCAGACTTCCCTTTGACAAAAGCCATGATATAGAATTACTTCCGTTAACAAAGAAACACCGAAGAACTGAAATGATTTGCTTTCAAGAGACATAACTGAGTAGTGATCTCGATTCGCAACTACATACTCCTGCGTTCGAAAGAATGGGGAACCCTCATTATGCCGCAAGGGTAGGGAGGGACTATTTTCGTCGATCAGAACTGGTGTGAAAACTGTAAACCCTTGTTTTTCGACTGCGGTGATTAGGTAGACGTAATCGCTGTCAAAATCTGATCCCTGTTGTTAGATAACTTTAAGGATGCTAAATTCCACGCTATTTATATTCCGCCCTCTAACTGCGAAGGTGTCTTAGCCCGGTATTTCGACTTTCTTCGTCAAAACTTATTTTTTCTGTTTTTTTTGACAGCTTATTCAACCGTGCGAACCTACGTCCCACAATAGTTTTGGGCTTTTAAGGTCTTGTTTCCTCCCCTACTTATGCCGATGCCTTCATTGATCAAATGTTAACTATTCACCATAGGCTTTTCATGGCAAAATAGAGCTCAGCTGTCTGGTTCAGATCACTCAGTGTTATTGGACATTCCTAACATCTACTCCATTCATAAGTGTGCACTGTTAGCCAACCTTGGAAAAAAAATCGCGATTCACGATATATCTCCACGAAGCAGTTTTTTGCTTCGGAGTTCAGTGGCTGCTAGTATCTCAGTTTTCCTACACTAACGGATGTCGAATCGGGCTCGTCCTAGCTTATAACACTTGAAATGCCACTTTTGATATCTGTTGCTAACCTGAAACTGCTGCGGTAAGACCTGACGGAATTTCTTTCCCATACCTCAATTTTTTATGACAGTCTTAAGGATGTTAACATCGTAATAAAATGGGTGTTTGTCCGACTGAACGAACTGCTTTCATTTAATTTTTCCTCCTCTTCCATCCCTTCTTTTTCCCTGCCCTCCGCTGACATGTGGAAGGATTATAAGCGTCTCACTGGCCAGCGGAGCATATGAGCACACGTCGACGTCAATTTAGACTCATAAAACGAAAATTCAATTTTTACTGGCAAGGACTCCATTCTCCTCTCTAACGACGGTTCCCTTTCAGCGTAAGCCTTCTGTACTGTATCTGTGGCTACGGCGAAGAAATATCCTCATAAGGTCCTTGGATGAACAGCTGCCGGGCCGAATGGTACCTCACTATTTCTCCTCTAATCCCGTTCTTATCAGACGACAATTATTTTAAGACTTTTCAGGGTGTCCCTCATCGTGTGAAAAGGTCTGACGCTTGGCGTACGGCAATATTCACTAAAGTCCCTAAGAAGTTTGCTAATTTTGGCCTTAAATCCGCCCATCCACTTGCATACTTCACCGCACTTATGAAAATCGCTAAAGGGGTTGTCTTAAATGCCATCCTTTTATTCTCCGCCGATTTTCCTGACCCTTTTCAATTTGCCTATAACTTCAGGCGTAGTACTTTGGATCCCATTGCTCTTGTGGTTCAATCTGTTCTAAGGCAGCTAGACATGGGTTGCCGCGAATGTTTACTTCTCGACTGGTCCTCTGCTTTTAAGATAGCCCCGCGTCATTTCCTCCTCAGCATGACATCTGAATGCGACTCTTCCGGCTGGATTACTTCTTGAGTTAGAGATTACTTAGTTTTTCGCACCTTATTTGCCCTGTTTGGCGAGCAAAAATGGACTGTTTCTCCTAATCACTGCAGAGGTTTGTAAGGTTCTATCTTATTCCCTCACGTCCTACTTCACACTGATGATGTGAGATTACTCAACGACTGCTTGTACGCTAGGTATGCTGATGATGTGGTTGTTGACCACCCTATTAAAGATCAGACTCGTTTCCAGTTTCTGAAGAATGACTTAGATCGTGTCTCTGCATAGTTCTTGGAAAACAGTCTCTTGCTTAACGATCGGAAACCTGTCCGGTGCGTTTTTCGACTGAGATCCTCTGCCATTCCTGAACCCTCCGACATTTTTCCCAACGAAATATCATCTTTCCGGAACTTTGATTTTACTCCGTTTTTAACCCTCTCATTCTCCCTTTGTGCTAAAACTCTTTTCATTAAAATTCGTAAAATTATTTATTAATTCTTCGTTTGCGTCCTTATCACACATCTCAACCCCTACTTTGAAGACCGATGGATGTTTGCATTCTCCTTCTCACTGTTTTTGTTCTCTGGGCATTTATCTTGCCCTGCAAAAAAAGGTATAATCATTTTAAAATAAAACGTCCGTGTGCTCTGTTCTGCTGCCGGTGCTTTTTAGGTCTTTTAGCTGATACCTTAATTAATCGACATTCCAAGGCGGTAGAGCTACTTGCTAATCGGATTCTGGGTAAGGTTGTCCATGCCCTTTATTCTCAGTTAATGGCAGCAAAGTCTTTTCGAATCACGTGCTGCGACTTTCAGCATAGGTTTTGTCACAAATAGGCATACCAGGGTCCATTACTACCATCTATGGCACGATATCTAACGTTTAAGGAGACCGACATAAAGGAAATGAGACTCAAACGGTTCCCATCACAGTTGTACAGTGTTTACG